TGATGTTGGGCCAGTCACGGTGCGTATCCAGCTGGAGCAGCCGGAGGTTGCGGACAAACACGACGAGGGGCGGCGGGGGGGACCAGTTCGGGGTTTTGGGACGGGGCGTTCGGGCTTGCATGATGAATTACATCTGGAGATGTTAGTTGCTGACAGTGAGAGAGAGAGAGAGTCAGAAGACAGACAACCTACCAGGGTACAGTGTAGAAGGGAAGAAAGTCACTCGAGTAACGGACGAGGAAGATAAGCGAGGCGCGAGAGCAGGTTGTCGGAGCCAACCCGGGAATATGAGGCGTCAAGTCAACAAAGAGCCCAAACGAGCAAATGGGTAGGTCTTGCCAGTGACCCCACGATGAGACCTGTCCAGCTGATCAGGATGAGCTCCAATTGCTGCTGCCACGACGGAGAGGGCTCCGTAGGAATTGAATTGGAAGCATATTGATGCTGAGATGAAGGCAGCGCAACTCAGCTCAGCTCAGCTCATTAGCAGGTTGTCTCCTCCTCCCCGATCGGTGGACCATCCGAAGCCAAACCCAATCAGGTAAACACCGCTTTTTCTCCCCGCGTTTGCGTTTCTCTTCCTTTCTCGATCTTGCGATTTCTTGCACCTCAGGCACCAAGGCCCAGGGCCGCCGTCACATGTGACAGGCGGTGGTAGCGGGCAGAACAGCGTTTCTGGCGCCCGGCTAACCGTCACAAAGAATCCCCCTCCAGAGAACATCCACCTACCCTTAAACTCGCTCTCCAAGCAAACCAGTCATCCCCGCTCTCAAAATGGGCTCCGAAACCCCCACCAACGCCCTCTGGACCACCCAGTCCGGTAAGTTTCAGGCACCAAAAAAAAAAAAAAAAAACAACATCACCACCACCACCACCACCACCACGCTCAAAACAAAACGAACCCAAACTAACTGAACCGCAAACAGTCCTCGCAACCCTCCCCCACCCGCCCGAAGAAAACGCCCGCACGCCGATCCCGTTCTTCCACCTCCTGGAGCGCCTGAAGACGACCAAGCGCGAGGGCTGGCGCCGGTTCGGCATCAACTCCGGCGAATCGATCTCGGACCACATGTACCGGATGTCGATCATGACGATGCTGGCGCCCGCGGCGCTGGCGCCGCGGCTGAACCTGGCGCACTGCATGAAGATGGCGCTGATCCACGACATGGCCGAGTCGCTGGTGGGGGACATCACGCCGGTGGACAAGGTGGACAAGACGGAGAAGGCGCGGCGCGAGGCGGACGTGATGGACTACATCGCCGGCACGCTGCTGGCCGGGGTGCCGGGCACGGGCCCCGCCACGGGGCAGGAGATCCTGGCCGTGTTCCACGAGTACGAGGCCAACGAGACGCTGGAGGCGCAGTTCGTCCACGACGTCGACAAGATGGAGCTGCTGCTGCAGATGGTCGAGTACGAGCGCGCCAGCGGCGTGGACCTGACCGAGTTCTGCCATGTGGCGGGCCGGATCCAGCTGCCCGAGGTGAAGGAGTGGGCGGCGACGGTCATACAGGAGCGGGAGGCGTTCTGGGCGGGGAAGAAGGCTGCCGCTGCCGCTGCCGCTGCCACTACTGCCAACGGGTCGTCGGCGGCGTGAAGCGAAAATGATGGTGCAATGACATATTCTCCGGCGTTGTTGTTTTGGCATGGGGGGGGGGGCGTTAGGAACCGCGATCACGATGGGAAAGCATGAACCATGAACCATGAAATTCGGATAGAGATTCATTACCGTTGAAGTTTATAGACTAGCATGGATGAAGAATCGATCATAGCCTCTACTACAGCAGTGTACATACTGCACTCTCTATACCACGGAATACTGTATATACAACCCCTCTCCCCTCGCAGAGGGGGAAAATCACTCCTCCTTCTCCTTCGCCATCTCCCCCATCAAAAACCTCGCCTCAGCTTCCATCTCCTCCAAACTCCTAGGATGTCTATCCTCATCATCCACCTTAGGAAACTTCCTCCTCCTTTCACCATTCTCCCCTTTGCCCTCCCCCTCCCCTTTCCCCTCCCCGTCCTCCCCTTTCTCCAACTTCCCCTCCAGAATCCGATTCAAATCCCCCTCCTCGCCCTCCAACAACTCATAAACAGCATCCACGCCGCCCCTGGCCTCCAGATCCCGGGCTCGCCTCGGGATCACATGCGCATGCACATGGGGCACGCTCTGGCCGGCGTCCACGCCATCTTGGATGGCGATGTTGAGGCTCGAGGCGCCGTAGACGCGCTCGACCATGCGGGCGACGCGGCGGACGGTCAGGAACAGATCGGAGGTCTCCATGGGCGTGAGGTCGGCGACGCGGGGCACGACGCGGCGCGGCGAGATGAGGACGTGGCCCGGGAGGATGGGCTTGAGGTTGACGAGGGCGTAGGAGTAGCGCGTCAGGTGGAAGACCTGGGTGGTGACGGGGAAGGGGCCGAAGTGGATGGGGCTCGCTTTGAGGATCGCGGTGGACATTTTGGTTGCTATTGCGGATGCTGCTGCTGCTGCTGCTGCTGCTGCTGTTGCTGACGCTGGGGTTGGCGGGGGCATTGTTGGTTGTTGTTGTGGTTGTGGTTGTGGTTGTGGTTCTGGTTGTGGTTGTGCGGTGGTAGTGGTGGAGGTTGGGGATGGGTTAGGTGGGGGATCGATTGGCATTGGGTTTATGGTCTGTTTGATTTGAGAAATTCTGGTAGTGAGAGAGGGTGGTAGGTATGTGAAGCTAGTAGATGTTGATGTTGATTGAAGAATCGCAGCGCAGGGTTAACGTAGGAACAACTCAGTGGAGACCCGATCGTCATAGCTCTGACTAGCTAAAAAAAAACAGCTCCGTCGCCGGACTTAGCCGGAGTTTACACCACCTTTACCTATACTTCGACTCTACTCGCCCGACTCAACAAATACAACACCATTAGGGTATCATTAATTCTTGCTCGAATTCGTATATTACATCGCTTTCCCACCTCCCTCGGATCCAAAATGACACAAATTACAAACCGTGGTATAGACACAAGGCATCACATAAAATCGGAAACAAGCGCGCTGCCGTACTTTACTCCTTCTGCGCCACCTCAGCCTCCGTGGTCTCAGTAGATGACTCGTCAGCTGCTGTCGGTTCCTCTGTCGAGGGTTCCTCCGTTGAAGCTTCTTCCGCGCCATGCTTTGCCTCTGCTTCGGCCTCCTTCGGCTGCTCCTCCTCCGCGGCTTCCTCCGCGGCTTCCCCCGCAGCTTCAGCGTTCTTCTCGGCCTTGCTCTCGGGCTCGAGCTCGGGCTCAGTCTCGGTCTCGGTTTGTGGTGCGGGCTCCGGTTCCTCCGCGTGTACCTCTGCAACAGTCACCTGCGATACGGGGCTACCGGGTGACGTTTGCTCAGCAGCCTGTTTGGGCTCTTCAGTAGCCTGCGGTGCCGGTTGCGGCTTGCTCTGGCCACCGGCAGCGGCGGCAGCGGCGGCCACTGCAGCAGTAGCGGCGGCCACAGCCTGCTGCTTCGGCTGCTCATCATCCTCAGCACTTTCATTGATGGTCGTCACCCCGGAGCTGATCGACGAGCTACCCTTGTGGCGCCTCGTGGTGGCGCCCGTGCTGATCGACGCGGGCTCCATACTGACAGGAAACGGCTCGTTCTCCTTCCGCAAGATCGTCACCCTCCGTCCATCCCCATGCTCCAACCCCGTCGTCGCCCCCGCCGCTGCCGCTGCCGCCGGGTGCTGCTGCTGAACAGTATCCAACCCCTCCGCCTCGGCCGGCACCGTGTAATTATCCTCTGGAATCAGACTGTACATGTCACAGACGGTCTTGAAGAAGATATAGAGTCCATCGTGACCCTCGACCTGCCAGAACACCTCCCGGTGCTGGAACCACGCATGCGCGAAGATGCGATACAGCCGGCGGAAGATGTTCGTCAGGTGCCGCATGCTCGCCTGGGCGCCGCCGCCGCCCTCCGCGCCCAGCGTCAGGCGACTGGGGAAGTATTTGGGCGAGGTGAGGATGTTGGTCGCCCAGTCGAGGGTGTGGCAGCAGTAGTCGATGGCGCAGCAGGCCTTGGGCGGATCGTGGACGGCGCAGAGGTACTGCCACTCGGAGGCCCGCATTTCCGGGCAGGTCTGCGCGGAGCAAGGGGGGGAGTCGGCGAAGAAGGCGACGATGAGGTTGTTCACTTTCATCGTCAGGAAGCGGCAGAGTTCGTACAGCCAGAGTGAGCGGTCGACGCCCTCCGGGGGCTCCGCCAGCTGGATCGCAACATCGCGGCTGATGGGAATAATGGTATCGGAGCCCTCAGGTCGCGTGAAGTGGTTATACAGGGCCTTGAGGTGTTCCTGAAGTTGGAAGGGGGAGTCGAGCTAGGCAAAGGGAGGCTGGGGGTCAGCAGGAGGGAACATAAGCAGTCTCGCGACCAAGCCCGGGTTGCAAAACTCATTCCATACCTGTGAAAGAGGAATCAACGGCGGACCAAAGGCCATATCGATGGCTCTAGTGCCCGGGCGGATGCGGCGAGTTGAACCATCCTCGGCGGTTTGCGAAGCGCCCAGCAATTGCTCAGTTTCGGAGTCGAAAGACTCGCCGACCGAGGGTGATTTGGGCCCGATCTGCACCTCAGTGAACGGGGGCGGGCTGGGTAAACGTGGGGAGCTGGCTTGCGAAACTCCCGCAGTAGCCATGACGGGTCAGAAAGAGAAAGGAGTGAAATTGAAAAAGACTAGTCTGGGTATGAGAAGGAATGAAGATTTTTAGAAAGAAAGCGAATGAGGGAGTAGTATTCCAGCCAGCTGGAGGGAGAGGGAAGAAGATTAGGTAGACGAGACGACGACAGCACTGCAAGGTCCGACGGGGGTCGATAAACAAGCCGCTAAGAGTTAGTAGATAAGATGCCGCGCGGGAAAGAAAGTTCCAGCCGCCGGTCGGTCATCACCGCCCAATAGACCGCCTTGTGCCCTAAGCCCTAGGGCCCTGCCTCATGGGGGAAAACGTCATTCCCGGAGCCATTCATCCCCGGCTTTTCTTCTACTACTACTGCGACTACTGCTACTACTACTACATGTATACATACTATATCTAAGTCCAACTCTTATACCTCCGCAAAGACCAACACCTACAACAACCCCTACAACCCCGCAACATGGACGACGAAGACGCCCCTCCCCAGTTGGTGGATGTATCCCAGCTGCCAGAGTCCGCGCCATCGACGTCAGAGGACACCCCGGAGGCTCAAGCCCGCGTGCCCATCACGCTTGTGACTGGTATGATGCGCGCGCCGCAATCCGTTATGCACCTCTACTTTCCTAGAGTAGTAGGAACAAACGCCAAGATAGAGACCCGTAGATTCTGATTTCTGTGTCATCACTTCATCAAGGCTACCTCGGAGCCGGCAAAACCACCCTCCTGAACTACATCCTTACCGAGAAGCATGGCAAGAAGATCGCCGTGATCATGAATGGTCAGTTCTATCTGTTAGCTCTTAGCGTTAGATGGTCTGAGGGTAATATACTAAGATCAAGTAGAATTCGGAGACTGTAAGTGTTAAGAGCTTGATCTTGAAAAGATCATGTCCTACATCAGCCCTGTTGCGGGGGACTTTGGCATTTCTGGCCGGTACTCACCCAAAGCGATAAAACAGCAACCGACATCGAAAAGCCCCTCACAGTCAACCAAGACGGTCAAGAGGTGACCGAATGGATGGAAGTGGGGAATGGCTGCATCTGCTGCTCAGTAAAGTGAACATCCCTCCTCATCCATCCCCACCCAAACAAAGACATTAACCCCCAAAAAAGAGACTCGGGCGTAATGGCCATCGAATCCCTCATGGCCCGCCGGGGCACCTTCGACTACATCCTGCTGGAGACCACCGGTCTCGCCGACCCCGGCAACATCGCCCCGATCTTCTGGGTCGACGACAACCTAGGCAGCAGCATCTACCTCGACGGGATCGTCACCCTCGTCGACGCGAAGAACATCCTGCATCTACTCGACGAGCCGACCCCGGAGGAGACGGTGTCCAGCCACACCACCACCACCACCACCACCACCAGTCAAAAACACGACCACCACCACCACCCCGCCAACACCCCCATCCTCTCAATGGCGCACATGCAAATCTCCCACGCGGACGTGATCATCCTCAACAAAGCCGACCTGGTCACGAGTCAGGAACTCGCGCGCGTCCGCGACCGCATCGTCGCCATCAACAGCGCCGCCCGCATCCACGTCACGGACCACAGCCAGACGCCGCGGATCGAGGGCGTGGTGCTGGATCTGCACGCCTACGACCACCTCGACGACGCGGCGGTCGATTTCGCGCAGAAGGGACACAGTCATATCGATCCGGTCAGTTTGACTCCTTCCCACCCCCGTCTTTGCCCTAAACCTATTTGATGGAAGAGACTCAAGGAATGAACTGACTTGATTTCCGATGGCGTCGTTCCATGGTGAAAAGGCGATTTCCACCATCGCGCTTACAACCCCCCGAATCACCCCGGCGCAAGTACCCCTCGTCGATGAGTGGCTGCGCTCGGTTCTGTGGGACTCGAAGCTCCCGGGGATCGCTGGGCGAGAAGCGCCAGCCACCACCAAGATGGACTTTGATATTCATCGGTTGAAGGGCATCCTTGCGATCGAGGATGGAACGACCCGGATCATCCAGGCCGTGCGGGACGTGTTTGAGATCCGGGATGCCGAGCCTGCGGAGGACTCCAAGACGCGGTGCAAGATTGTGCTGATCGGGCGGGGACTCGGGGCGGATGCGCTTCCATGGCAGCGCAATTTCGAGGAATATCTCAAGCGGGACCGGAAATGAGGGCAATGATTGAGATGATTAGGTCATGATGTGATGTCTGTGAGACCAGCTTCGGATAACCAGAATTCATGTCGAATGTGAGCACTGGCTAGACGCATAGGGGAAAGCTCAGGACTCAAGTCCAGAAGAACAGATGAGGGAATGATACCACGAAACCTAAGAAAGAACAACACCACTAAATTCATTTTCGAAATAATACAGTTGTTACTGGAAGGTTACGGACAACCACTGTACATAAACGGTCTCAACTGGCGCAGAGAAAGTAAACCCAAAATCATAGTCAGCCGTCTGGTCGTTAGTCATGAAAAGAGATGGAAAGACGAAACACCAAACGCCACCCAAGATTCTGAAGCTGCTGGAAAGTTCTGTCGTATCTGGTAGAGTAGTATCTCATGATGAAAAGAGAAGCCGGGCGAATTCAAAGAATGTCCACCGATCAAGCGGTATAGAAACCTTCAACAAATCAGGCTAGCCGAGATAACGTGGCAACTCCATTGCGCCATGTGCACGCTGAAAAGAAAAAAAAAAAAAAAAAAAAAAAAAGAGCAAATATCGAAAGATCGCTTTGAATCAAGGTAAATGTACAGTGCAAAATCGCTAGGGGTATCGCGCACTGTTGGGTCTCACGTCTGAGACCCACAAACATGACTGGAAACAACTCCTGTCTTTCCTGTGAAGGACTTTTCTAGATGCAATTCGCCGGTTACGTCTCATACACACGCCGATGTCTCTTCTTCGAGTGCTGGGTTGATCGGTAAATGAGAGTCACATAAGTAATTGGTGGGTTCGTGTAGGCTCTGGCGAGGGACATATCCCAGGGCGGAACGAATGCTGATGGGGGAATACTGGTCAGTCTCAGCATCCAACTTCTTCGCCTCGCGGGAGCTGATCGTGGGGTTGATAGGTAGAATCGAGTGCATGAGAGAAGAGACTGAACGCGACGATTCTTGTACGGACCAGTCTGGGTCGTCCATGAGAGCATGTCCGAGATCTGCCAATGGGGTCGGATACAGATCAGTCGACTGCGTGGCGGCCGACGAGATCGGAGATTCCTGCAGCCTCCCGTTCTCAGACAAGGTGTTTACTGAATGAGGCTTCAGCGAGTAGGCCGAGTTACAATCAACCTCATCGAGTTCACGAAACAGGTGAGCCGTATTCGAAGGCACATCATCCGCATGGTCTATAGTGTACTTGCGATAGCATCCGTCAATTCCTGGATCGAAGCCCAAGTCGTTCTCATCGAGTCCTCGAAGAGTTGTACCATACGACTCTTGGCCGTTCTCGAAGGTCGGTGGGTTCAAAACCCCTGTTGCAGTTGACCCTGAATATGCATATCCACTTGACCTCCGATGCTCTAACGGTGCTGGGCTACTCTCAGCAGTCACGTCCTCGTGTAGAAAAGACTGCTCCCGATCTCTATGCTCGGCGTCCTGCTCGCTACCAGGAGAAGGGCCAAACCGGTTGCTTGCATTCTGCAAATTCGTGCGACCGTCAGAGATATAGCTGCCGCTATCCATCGGGGGACGCTGTTGAGAGAGAAATGTCGCTCGGACGTCGTACATCGGCAGAGTGCTATTGTGCAACGCTACACCAAGACCAGTGTGCGTGGGAGGCATGCGGGAAACAGTCGCGGCCATCGCTCCTCGCTCGCGTGGAAATAGTCCCAGTAGTTCTTTTGCTGATAGTCGATGTCGAGGAACGGGGCTCAGACAGATCGAGACTAGCCTGCGGTAGTAGTCAGGCACATTCACATCTTCGCCTAGCATCAGAGGCCGTGGCTGACGCTCCGGTTCATCCTCCTCCATGGCCAAGGCCCATAGAGTCATTCCCAACTGGAAGATATCGGTCTTTACCCCAATATACATGGATATTCGCTGATTACTCTCGATCTTGGCGGCGATCTCGGGGGGCTCCCACCCCACTGGGCAACCCCGGCGATTGATATCAATGATCTTGGCGTTGTCGTCAGCGTCCACCACAATGTTTGACAAGGTGAAGTCTCCCTGCACGTAGCCAGCTTCATGAATCTCGCAAAGTCCACGGACAATCTGTCGTGCCCAGCGCTCCCGGCGTTCCCATGATATCGTACCCCGGTTCTCATATAAAAGGTCAACCAACGCACCCTTCTCGGCAAAGCCAATTAGCAGTCCTTTTACTATCTCTTCGTCATCATCAACCACGACTCCCTCCACCTGGACAACGTCTGGGATTCCCTGCAAGGCATGAAGGGCGTTGATTTCGTACAGAAACTCGTCTACCGTGTCGGGGCCAGGAATCTCCTTCTTGATGAATGTCTTGCCATCCAGCTGCACATTGTATACAAATCCCGACAAATGTGACTCGAAATGCAATTGGTTTTCGCGAACTAGCCGTGCTTCTGGTAAGTGCCCAATACAAGAAACTGGCGGGTAGGGTATTATCTCGTTGACATCCTCGGTGACGTGCACATGCAGCCGACCGTCTCGAGTTTCCAATTTCAGGTTGGTTACTGTGTCATAGAATTGGATCTCTGGCAATGATTCGCGGAGAGATTCGTAGATACGTGCACACTTGTCGCGTTGGTAGTGTAGCTCTCGGAGGTCCTGCTCCAGGGAATCGAGCGGCGCACCGCGATAGTCGCAGGATATGGTGACTCTCCGCCAACGGTTGGGCGTCTCTGCATAAGTGACGAAAAACTTTTCTCGCTCGGAGCGATCCCGAAAGTGCATGCTCAAATTCAGAATCCAACGCTTTTCCAGCTCCATCTCGAAAGTCTCGGTTGGTGGCTCCTCGGGAACATCGGTCATGTCAGGGTAGGGGTTCCATTCCGAGCGGATCTCGTTATCCTCATTCGTCTCGCTCGGGGGGTCAACCGTGGGCTCGTTCGGGTCTTCGCGCCACTGAACCTCGGGAGCGGACAATCTGGGGTCCAGGGTGGGCGGTGGGGATCGAGTAGTTCGCTGGGACTGAGAACTCAGGGGACGACGTCGGTCGGCGGAGACTGTCCGACGGGGTTCAAGTTCAGTTGGGGACAGCCGGTCGCGTCGCTCGGAATTCTGTCGTTTGAATGTTGTTGCCCGAGGCAATCCCACACCAACCTTGCGGGACAACCGACGAGTGAGATTATCGTGGGGCCTGCTTGGACGAGGGGGAGAGGACTTTGCGTCATGGTTGTTGTGGTGGTGATAAGAATGATGATGACTATTGTGGGCGGCCGGTGAATTGGGTTGTTTCGCAGTGGGGAACCCATTATTGTTGCCTGCGGGGGAAGATTGGGACGAAAGAAGGTCTCGATCATCGCGGCCCAGCCATCGCCGTAGACCCAGGCGATGCCACATACTCTGCTTGGGGCGTGGAGGGTCGGCCTTTTCTTCCAACAACAATCCCAACGAACTCATCATCGGACTACAGGAACTGTCTGCAATCGAGACAGCCATCCGGCACGGCACGGTCGCTAATCGGTCGTACAGAGAACAACTGAGACACCTGAGGGGTTGGGACCGTATTGTCCATAAGAATTGCCGACAGGATCTGTGACCGTTGTTCTCGACCACACTCTCAGGGGATGCACGGGCAGTGAGTCAACAAATTAGAGCAGATACGGAGAAGAGGAATGTGAAAAGAAAAAAAGAAAAAAAGAAAAAAAAAGAAAAAAAAGAAAAAAGAAATCGGTGGGTGGCAGGGCACAGAGGGTTAAAAAAAGCAACCAGGGGCCAAAAAGCAGAAGACCACCAGAATGTCACAGTACGGTTGAAGGAAGAGAAAACACCAATGGACTGCAGGGAACCAGATTTATGGGACGGGATGGAGGAGATATAGAAAAATTTTCCATGTAGCTATGAATCATATGAATGAATCAAATAAAGAATAAAGTACCGGTAGTAGAAATGATAGATAAATACGAAAAACGATCACCCTGGAGAAGTCGGTGTGAATTTGGGTTGCTGGCTAAGGTAGGCGCTGCTTTTGCCCAGTCCCACTGAGTGGTCACACAATGTCGTCGATGGTGGTAGTGATAATGATGAGGATGATGGCGATCGTAGGTGTTGGTTCCTGTCGTTGAGGTTTTGCTACTGAAAATCAAAGGCAGAGGAGGTGACAATGTGATCAGATACACCAGATATGGAGAAACCCGGAACAAATGAAGACGAAGGGGAGGGGGGAAAGAAGGATGACGAGGAGAGAGAAGCGACAGAGAAACGAAACAGCAAGACAGACTAGTCGGTTGTAGCCCGGCAGGAAGTCTAAGGCTGGTTGGGCTGAGATTTGCAACAAGAGATGAAAGGGAGAGAAGAGGAGAATAATGGGCTGAGTGGTTGAACTAGAGAAAAGAACAGAGAAATCAGTTGAAATCAATCGAGGCATGAATGATAAACGCCTGCAGGTGAAATGGAGAAGGACAGAAACAATTCCACCACCTATAAGAGATAGGAAGTGGAAGGGCGATAGAACATCACATAGAACAATTATAATTAGGTTAGTTGGTCACCACTACTGTGTTGCTTGCTATGAAGTCACTCTACTACCTATACTACCCATACTACCTATACCATACCTCCTCAGTAAATTAAACTAAACCAAACTAAACTAACAAACTAAACCGAACTCACTTAAATGCAACAAATCTGAGATCCAATGAGCAGCTTAAAATGCACGGCGGCCTGACCGACCGTGCCTGCCTGACTGATAATTAGAAGTAAACATCCACGGCAGCCTCAACCGAGAAGTAGAGCAAGGAGACAGGAGACAGGAGCCAGAAACCGACGATAGCCTCAATTCTTCATCCCATCGCACGGCATCTGAACTACTGCAGACGCACAGCCCAACTTCCTTCTCGAAGCCTGTCCCCGTTCGCTCGTTCCTCGCCCCGATTTCTCCGATCGTCCAAAATCAGAATATGCTTATAAGTTATACTCCTCTTTACATCCATCCCGCCGGGCTTCTTTTGTCTGTTCCGGAACGGACTCAATCATCCCCCTCCATCCATCACATTTCCGACTACGACGTTCAGGTTCAGGTTGACACCATCGGGACTAATCGCAATGACGAACGATGCGGACCATATCGCAATATTAACTACCACCTGGGATTTCCAGGGTACCCGAGCGTATCGCGCAGACCAGCTTGAAAACCAGCCACGCTGTACAAACAACCAGCCGCCCCGGGGGGGTG